TGGGGTATTTTGTAGGGCGCTTGTGGAGGGTGTAGGTGTCGGTGGGCGCGTGTTTGGTGTTTGTGGTCGTGTTTTGTTTGTTTTGTCTGATTTTTCTCCCCAGGGGCTTGATTTTTGAAAACAGAAGAATTAGTTCATTAGAGAAAATTACGTCATTTTCTCTTGACACGCAGATAATGTAATTTTTGAAATTTTCTTATGGAATATTTTCTCTAGATATCAAGAGAAATATTTCCACAGGGTTTTGTCGGGGGAATTGGCGTTTTCTCCGAATAGTTTGAAACCGAATGTCATCTCATGCTCATGCGCAAATTGTCACTTCATTCATTCGCTGTTTGAAGGTGCGTAATCATTTGAAATTTGAAATTTGTAATGGATCCAAATAATTTATTATTAAATCTAAATATAATGAATAATTTGCAAGCTGCAGAAATTGTAAACCATCCGCGACAACATTAATTAAACCATTTAAAGTTTCAGCAATATCTGACCACTGTTCTTGGGCCTTTTTGTGAGTGAAAGTAGAAGAAAACTTTCATTTTAAAAAGTTCTTCGTTGTTTCTAAGCATATTAATTTCTTTTTTGCGCTTTCGACGTGAACGAACGCTTCATCATAATTATAATAATATTAAATTTTTTGTGTTTTCAAATATACTTCTATTCAAATTGAAGTTATATTAAATTACTACGAATATCATGGAGATGTCTAGTCTCCCTGACGAATATAATGACATTTACAAAACAAACTTCAAAATCAAATCAAGTGACTAAACATCAGGGTCGCCAATAATGGCACTGAAATATTGAAGAAAACTCTGCCCGCTGATTGGTCAGTTGCAAATATATCCTCGACATACGGCATAAATTAAATTCTCTAGAGAATTGGATTCCTTCAACGTTCAAAAATAAGTGTTTAAGTTTTTAAGAGAAATTTGTCAGGTGAATTTTTTCTCTGGAGTATCAGTTCTCCTGTTTTCAAAAATCAAGGCCCTGAAACTCGTGAGACTCAATTGATACCAACTAAATTTAAACAATAAAATTTGGTAAGCAACTAAATTCTAGTTCGATTTATATTGGCAACATTGCGAAATCTTGTTACAATTGGTGTCGTCTACAGGGAGGACTAGATGTGTAGTCTCCATTTTCTTGTTAGTAATCTGTGGTCTCCATGGTCGTCTATTTAACTTACCTAACCTTAACGTCCTTAACCTCCTACCTTTAATCATTTTCCTAATCCGTGTCGTATAACAAGGTTATGTGATCTGTGTCTGTGTCGAAACTTTGTACTTAATCTATGGCCGAAACTGTGCCTGACTGACCATTCCATTTATATAAAACAGAGATAAAAATTAAAGTAAAATACTTTTTTATTTTGTTTGAACATGCCCAAAGTAGTTTCACGCAGTATAGCCTGTTCAGATACAAAAGATCAGGAAGAATATGGTGATGAAAAACCCTTGCACATATATTACTGCCTATGCGGACAAATGACATTAATTTTAGGTGGGTATTAAAAAATATTTTAAATTTTTTGACTGTTTTTTTTTGTATTAGATTGTTCTATCGAAAAACTTCCTCTGAGAAAGAGGGATGGAGCCAGAGTTTTAGACGGTACAAATCATGCACACAAAATTACTTGTGATACAGATGAGACAGTGTATATTAAACGTCCTGAAGGTATTGAAAAACAGTTTCGTCTAAAATGTAAAAAGTGTGGATTGCTTTTGTATTATAAACATGATGCACAAAGTCCTATAAGTTTCATTGTAAGAGGATCGTTGATAAAAAGTACTAATGAAGGCCCTATTAATGATATATATAATCAAGTAGCTGTAGAAAAACCAAAGAAAATTATGGTCACTAAACATACAAAAAATATGGGCAAATTTAGCTCGGTGACTGTATCTACTATAGATGAAGAAGAGGATGAAATCGAAGCAGTATGTATTTGATTCTTAAGTTTTTAGCATTGTTTTCGACTTTTTTGCACTTGGAATTAATGCACAATACAGGGTGTTCTAGAATAACGTGTACAACGGAAGACCACAGATTTATGGACTCAAAATAGGCAGATTTAGGCTAATCCACCTATATCCAAAATCCCTTCGTTTGGCCGCTAGATGACCTCAAAGTTCGTGAACATTTTTTAAATTTTGTAAATAACTCGAATACATATTATTCGATTTTGATTATTTTTGAGGTGTGGACTTTTGCTGTCAATCTACACATTTCGGTGTTATACATAGTGTTTTTTAAAACTTACAACTCCTTTAAAATTGATGTATGGTGATAATATCCATTCATAACTTTTTCCTCTTTCGGGCAATAATGACAACTATTTTTTATTTGATAGGTGATCCAATTTGGAAGTTTTTGCGCCGCTTGTAGAATTTTGATTAAATGAGCGGTTTGGGTACAAAAAAATATTTTTTAAATGTATACATTATCTTGCCACCTATATTTCAATACTTAACAAAGTGCTAGTAGGCTCTGATTTTGTAGGTTGACTGTAATTTCAGTTTGATCTTGTTTGGTATAGCATTATTATTGGCTCTGTTATTCTACCCAATATCACCCAATGGGTAATTTTATTTAGAATTTTTGCAAAACCCGAGTTATTGGAAGATGTGCCGTTATTACTCAGAGCTAACATGTGATTTATGCATGATGGCGCTCCACCATATTTCACTGTAAATGTCCGGCAGTATCTGAATCAAAGATTTGCTCGTCAATGTATCGGTATAGAGGGCAATGTTCCTGTTAACTGGTTTGTACGTTCACCAGACTTAACATCTTGCGACTATTATCTTTGGGGCACTCTGAAAACAACAGTGCATGATTCCACATGTACTTAACACTGAACTGAGTTGTGGAGGCATATCCAAAATACCATAAATGTTGTAAAAAATAGCCCTTAAGAACTGCAAAAGGTATGCCTTAACTTCCTTCGCCGAATTAACCTTTGTTGTAGAAACAACGATGGTCATTTTGAACAGTTTTTATAATAAGTTGTATACTAAATTTAATAACCTCAATTTTTACATTTATCTCCGGCATTTTTTATTGTATTTGATTGTTTTTACAAATTTTTTTAATAAAATTAGGCATGTAAATAATTCTAATTCGTCGTGCGTATGTATCCATATCGAAAAATGAAATAACATATATATTTTATTGTAGTAAATACTCGTTAAGAATTGGCAGGTACAGTGACTTAAAGATCAAACTGAAGTTACAGTCAACCTACGAAATCAGTGACTACTGGCTGTTGCATCCGCAAGTAATAATTTAGTATTAATATTAGATATTAAGTATTTTTGTTTAAAAACTATTGAATAATTATTCCATGGAGAAATTTGTTATGTGTTAGCAATTATAGTTTTCGTGCTTTTTGTAATATTTAGTTTTTTTTGTATAAAATATTTTTACCTCACGGGAAAAAAGGTTGTAAGCGGCACTTCGTAAACCGACTCATTTGTGTACGCACGTGAATTGACCGTCAAGTGAATTTTCGTTAAAATCTAACAAGAAAGAAACTGGAAGCTGCAGGTCATTACCAATGTACATTGCACCAACAGAGCTGCATCATCGGTAAGTCGCTTTGCAACCAGTCGCTTTTATCTTTTCGTAATCAATTTTGTTCATTCACATACAGTCCGCTAAAATTCGTAACATTTTTTTGGTCCTATCGAGATTAGGATACTTTCAAAATTAGTTTTCGCGATTGTTTTTCTAACCATAACAAGTTTCTCGACTCGAGTTACCTAATTAGATATTTTGATTTTGTTTCATTTTGCAATTGCATGCCATTTTCGTACATTCGTTTCCATACATCTACTTAATCAAATTCATTAATTTATAATACATTAGTTTATTTTAAACAATTTTATAGAATTTAATAATCCTAAGTTGGTACTTGTTTAACCTTTTCACATTCACTTAGTTCTTTTTCTTGTCTTTTTTATTAGACCGCTCAGCGATACGATATTAGTACGGTCTCTTATCATGTCAATTTAGTTATAGATTTGTTAGAATTTCCCAGTACGGATGATTATAATTTGGAGTGAGCATTCATACCACCCATATCCAATATTTTTTATTTCATTTTATACAGAGTGGACTTCTTTAAAATTCCATATAGTATTTTGTTGTTGTTACATATTACTTTCAATAATTTCGCTAGCTGGTGATAAATCGATGATGATATTTTACATTAAACCTTTTGATACTTTCTGTCTACATCGTTTTCTTCTTTTTTTTAACAAAAGAAAAGAGAAGAAAAAATGGCAAATAAACTCAAACAATTAAGAGCACAGAGAGACCTGTGGCACGATTGCCTAAGTGAGCTTGAACTGTTTGCTAGACGTGCGTCAACAGACGACATTGCAGTTGATATGTTTAAAATTTGATATTATGATTTAGACAATATTAACGAGGAATTTACACATCACCATCATTCATTATTATCCACTTTAGCTGTTACTGAAAATCCAGATTTTGAAACGGAAAAGGCTACAGTAACTAGTTTTGACAATTCTTACTATGCTATTAAATCGATTTATCATTCTCTAATGAAAAATGAGGCTGAAGTTTCTGTAACTAGTGCAAGCCAGCCTAATGTGCGCTTACCGAAAATAGATGTCCCGAAATTTGATAGCAACATTAACAACTGGCCTACCTTTATCAGTCTATTCCCTTCGTTGATTCATAACAATAGTACTTTATCGAATTCTGAAAAGTTTCAATTATTGTTGATGTCTGTGTCAAAAAATCATCTTTCAATTATCAAATCTATTCCATTAACTGATGAAAACTGTCCAGTTGCATATAACACTTTAACTGCTCGTTACCAGAACACTCGTATTCTTGCTAGTTCTTATTGGAAACAAATAATTCATGCTCCAAAATTAAAATCCAAGTCACTAACTAAGTTAAGAGATTTATTAGATCGTTTTTCTAAAAATTTAGAAGCATTAAAAGTATTAAAATTACCAGTAGAACATTGAAATTTTGTAATGTTTCATATTTTAGTTTCAAAATTAGATGAAGCGACAGTTACACGTTTTGAACTGGAATGTAACTCAACAGCTATCTCATCTTACAAGGACTTAGTTAATTTTTTACAAAACCAATGTACTGCTTATGAAACAGTATCGCTCACTTTGAATAGTGGAATAGACAAATCAAAACCAGTTAATTTTAATAAAATTAAACAATTTGTTTCTCCTAAACCTAATTCGTCTTGTTTTGTTAATGCTATAAAACCGTCAACTAAATGCATCTAGTACTATTCGTCCAGTAAATGAATTTTCGCCACAATTATCAATTGATGCTCTAGTATTAACCAAAATATGTGGCCACATGCCACCTCAATGCAATCCTAATTGAACTTTTCGAAATTGTCGAATATTAAATTAGCAAATCCTAAATTTAATATTCCGAGTGACGTCGACATTCTTTTAGGTGTTGACATAATATTCCCATTGGTACTAACTTCTGGTTGCTTAACAGGTAATGAAAGTCAGCCGACTGCTATTAATACAATTTTTGGTTGGATTCTCATGGGTAGTTTCTTGCTCTCCCCATAATTTCCTTAATTCATTTCATAGTACATCGGCTATTTGATTGATCAATCTATAAAAAAATGTTGGGAACTAGAAGAAGTACCAGATGTTAAGACTTCTTCTTCGGATCTTCGTTGTGAAAAATTGTTTGTAGAGAATCATTCTCGTAATCATTCTGGTTGTTACATTGTTACTCTTCTTTGCTTTGGAAAATCTTTTGCTTCATGATCCATCTTTATATATGCTCTATTCAGAATTCATGAAAGATTACTTAGATAGTGTGCACATGGTAGAAATACCAACTTCTTATCTTAGTGTGGAACCAAATTATTACATTCCTCACCATTGTGTACTTAAACCTGACAGTAACACAACTAAGTTAAGAGTTGTGTTTGATGCTTCTTGTAATTCTTCGGATTGAATCTCTCTGAATGAAACTCTTCTAGTAGGTTCTAAGTTGCAAAAGGACATTACTTCTATCTTGTTAAATTTTCGGCTACATTATTTCGTCTTCACTGCTGACATTAAGCAAATGTATCGTCAGATTCTAATACACCGCTATCATTGGGATTATCAAAGAATATTATGGAGATTCGCCCCAACAGATCCTATCAAAGATTTTTGGTTGAAAACTGTTACTTATGGGGTAACTTCAGCTCCCTTTCTCGCTCTTCGTACCCTGATTCAATTAGCCAACGATGAAGGAAAGCAATTTCCTCATGCATCGTAAGTTCTTTTGTCAGACATCTATGTTGATGACTTATTAATTGGTTCCGATTCACTAGAAGCAGCTTTACATCTTTAAAAGCTTTTGGCTTCGCAAATGGACAAGTAATAATCCATTCTAGAATCGATTCCCTATGACCCTCGTTACGAACATGATATTTCATTTGATGATTCTAATAGTTTCAGTTTAAAAATTTTGAGATTAAAATAAATTCCATTAACTATATTATCCGAATTGGCACGTATCTTTGATCCTCTGGATTTTTAGCTAGTATCGTTTTTTGCCAAATATCTTATCCAGGTATTTATGGACTTTATGACTAGAATGGAATCAATCACCACCTACTGACATAATAAAGTGCTGGAATCAGTCCAAAGGAGAGCTTCACCATCTCACATGGCACATATCTCGTATCAAACCGTTGCAGTTCATATCTTGTGATCTTCATGGATTTTGTGACAGTTCCGAGAAAGGGTATGCTGCTGTTATTTATCCTAGATTTATTGATGCCGATGAAAATATTGAATATAAAATAAACAAATAATATATTAAATATTAAAATATTAAATGAACCGGATTTCTCTTCCTCGTCTTGAGTTGTGTGCAGCAGTTCTTTTGTCGAATTTAATTGAATATCTACTAAAAACAT